TTTTTTGCAAATTTTAACCAATCAAAACCTTACTACACAATTCCAAGTTCCCAAAGTTGCAGCAAAGCATAACAAAGTAGAAACTCATGCAAAACGTTAAAGGCCTTGAGCATGAGCAGGATTGATTAATGTCCAGCGTTGTCCTTTAACATTTATCATGCAAGACAAAAAGGTCCATTGTGCTTTAAAGTTTCAAAAGCCAAGAAACAAAGGCAATCTGGATAGCTCTTCTTTTTCCAGTCAGTGCATGCCTGCTGTCATTCTTTTGAAGCTTATTATGTTGGATGAAAATATATCTACTGGTGCTTTTACAGAACCCAGAAATAGGGAAATCTCTCTTTCTGATTTGTAACTTTCCATTATATATCTATGCTTGATTAATGTTGCCTTATATTAGATTCAAAAAGAAAAAAAAAAAAGGAAAAAAGCATGAGCAGGATTTCTAGCACCAACACGAGGAGCTTGACCAAGCTAACCAGGCTTTTGCATATCATCCCTGCGTTTAAGGAAGCACTGGGTTTAAGGAACAACTTTGGCGAAATCACCAAGGGAGATTTTTTTCTCTTGAAAAGCCAATTTCTTCCGGTAAACATATCAATCAAAGAAAATAGATTCTCTTCATTGAATAATGCCACTACACTTGAGGGGCTTACCTCAACACCTCTAAGAAATTGGAACAAAAACCTCCACTTTGGGATTCTAGAGCAAACTACCACCATCTTGCATCGATGTTTGCTTTGTCCTTGCTAGCATAGGAAGCCTAAAAAAACCTACAACTTATGCTGCTGCTAATCCCTATGTCAGTTTGCTGCAATGGTGACGTGGGGTAATCTTCTTCTTGGGAAGGTGACGATAATATAATATGGTAGCAATGTAGTGGGTACTTGCCCAGTCTTGGGATCCCATCATCCCATTAATAAAGGATATATGATCTTCACCCAGGTACCAAAGCTAATATTTTAGTAAGACGAAAGACTTATGATAGTCTGTGTACCAACAAAAATTTAGCAGGTATTCCATTGTTGTACTAACAAATTAGATTCCAAAAATTTTCCCAAGCCCTCAGCAGGTGCATGTCCCTAGTGCTAACAAATTCTCCTTTGGTTTGTGTAGAAGGTTTTTTTTCTAGAAAGAAAGAACATGTTGCAATAAGTAAAACGAAATACACTAGAAGTGGTAGATAGCAAAATTGGAACAGTCATTGAAACGTAAGTATTTTTGTGGCAAGCGATGAGGAATAAGAAATCAAGGAATAGGAGGAGAAAGCGATGAAACATGATGGATGGAAAGAGTTTAGTAGAAAGAATATAATTTCGAGAGAGTTTTGAAAGTAATTTATGTTGAATTTCTAATCTCTTTTAAATTGCTAAACTCTCATAAATTGGAGTACATTCTTACGAGAAGTTAGTAGAACGATAGCACTTTTAGAAGAACATGCTTTGTATGAAAGCACGTGCTTGTTATGGGGAGAACACGTAATTGAATAGTGTATGTAAGTTTTTGGTAGTGGAGTAATGGCATTTAACAATGTGTTGTATGTACTTTTAAGAAAAAAAAAGAAAAGGTAAAACATGTGTACTTCAAGGAAAGGTTAAAAGGAAATCCTCATAATTACCTCTATATCTAAGTTATCAAGTTAAACTCTCTATAGCATCCCAAGCATGAAAATAGCCTGTGAACCCTATCACTCGTTCTGAGTTACTTTCACTCCTTGTGTGACATAGCTATTCCATGCTTGTTTCTATTCTATATGACAATACTTAAATAAATAATAGTTAGCAAAAATTAGGTATTTACATTTTGCCCCGTACATAAGAATTCTCATAAGAAATTTTTATGCATAAAATGAGAAGGTACAATTTGAGTTATGCACATGGAATAAGAATAAGTAATGCAAGGCAACGCTTTTATATCTTTTTCTTCCTCAAAAGAAAGAATAGCCAATGGAGCAAAGCTAGAATGTGTTTTTACGACTATGCCCCTTTAAATCAATATCTTTTTTCTACTCCACTATAGCTTTTTAGTATAACGAAAGGGAAAGTTTTTTTTTTGTTATTACTGTTGCAACACATTTTTTTGTAGGGGTAAGAAAGAATTTTCTTTTACTTTGGATTAGTGATTGATCCGACTAGTAATTCTACAGCTAATTCATCTTCTAAGATAGCATTTTCCTCTCCCAAGTGTGTAATTGCATTTTCAATCATAGGTTTTAACTTCAAAACTTTTTGGAGTAGTGCAAGAGTAATGACATAATCATTCCCAAAGAGATGTAAAGAATGAGTTATCATGATCAGTTGGGTCGTGGTCATTTTCTCCTTTGTAGACAGTGGTTCCATTTGAATAGAAAACTCTGACAAAGTCTTCGTATACTCTTCTCATCAGGTTCAAATAGTAATGCCATCCTAATTCTTTTATATTTGAAATATATGGCCATCCGAAGTCTTCTTCAAGCTATTTTAGGCCAATCATTCTACCATAAAATACTTTCTTTGAAGAATAATTTTCATCAAACACTTTCCTTTTCTCTTCAAATGAGAAATGTACATAGAGAAAGTCAATTTCCTGACTCATTTGTTTCTTAGACAACTTTGCAGAACCCTTTTCTTTTTCTTCAGGTGGTCTATTTAGGGCCATTGAAATTGAGATTGATTTAGTTTTGAAGGCTTGAGAATGGGTTGTTATTTCTTGTGTACTGAACAGATTTCTTCTTTGAAGATTGTGTGTCTTGAATGAAGATTCAATATATAGTTATGAAGAGAAGAGAAGGTTTTTGAAAAGTTTCAACCTTTTCATTTTCCAACAAATACATTTTTAGAATTGTGAAAAGTTATGACCTTTAGGAGTAATTTTGAAGTTGTAAAAGTATCTTTTGAAATTGAAAGTTCAAGGGTTTTTTCTGATTCTAAAGCATAAGAAAATTATTTTTTTTATATGATTAGAATTGATTCTTTGGCAACTAGAGATCAGTTCTCAAATGTCAGAAAGGTAAAAACAAACTACCAAAGAATTGATTTTTTAAAATGAAGGTGTTGATTCTTATCATTCATAGTTTCAAAATATTGTGAATTTTGATTTAAAGAAAATATGAGAAATCTCTTGACAGAATAAATTTGTTTAGCACACAACTTTCTTTGAACCAAAAAAAAAAAAGGCATGTGCATGTAATGATGTATGAATGTAGTAGATCAACACACAAGATTTTCATCAAAATATTTTTCATTAAAATTATGTTTTATTTTTTAAAATGACTCAAGAATCAACTTAGTGTAGTCAAGTTCAGTCACTAATTTTCAATTCATAATATATATTATCTAATTAAGGATGAATTAATCAATTTCTCAAACATATAAAATAAGAATGCAATCAATCATTTTTCACATAAAAGTGGCTTTCGACATAGAAATCACCTATTTTCATTGTATGCCCATTTTTAAGACTTTGCTTCTTCTTGCCTTTGGTTTACCTACAAGACAACTTCTCATTTAAACTTTTGGTATTTAAATTTCTTTGGATTCTTTTTGTTAGTCACAACTGTCATAGAAAAATTTATTCACTTTATTTATGAAGTCTATTCAGTCGATCTTCTTTCCATAATTTTCAATATCAATTCTCAATTTTGTATTTTCTTTACCTATGTTATTTAAAATCTTTTGACATAACCTCAATTCCATTTTTAATTTCTTATTTTCATTTTCTAACTCAAGTTTCTCCTTTGCCAAGAAATCATTTTCAATACTAAAACTTGAAATCTTTTATTCATTTTCCAGCTTCATCTTTTCA